GTTCACATAAGAAATATATGACCGGACGCGTAGCCTGGGAGCTGGGCGTCCGGTAACCGGACGCGTAGCCACGGCCTAAATATAAATACAGGTCCATATAACCTTCTCAATTTCGAAATTCGAAAAGCATTGACAACAGAGTGTTGTGTGAAGCGTTGCTCGTGCGCGCGACACGACCGGAGTGGTGGCGGACACGTCCTGACGCTTGACCCAGGCAAACCCGAGGCATCATTTGTTTTTGCTGTTTTGCGATTCAGAAATATTCACTCGCTCGCTTACAAGCTGTGCCACAGAGCGCACCAGGAGGTTACCGTAATACATACAGTGTTTCCCTTGCATTGACATGAGCGAGGCAGGCCGCCACACAGATATTTGTCCAATCCGAAAATCCGAAAATCACTGTTCTTCCATAGAACAGTGCATATAATGCACCAAAATAGCTTAGAATGCACCAAAATAGCTTAGAATGCACTAAAATAGATTAGAATGCACCAAATTGCACCATTTTTTCCAAAATTTTAGAGTGCACCTGCAGTGCTCGCTTTGCTAGGACTTCGAAGCGCGCAAACACACCAAACAACTACTTACCACCTCATAGACCTTTTGGGTCAGGAGAAACACTGATATAAGACACATATCGTACTACCACTCTGGAAAATCTCGAAAATTCCAAAAATTCCAAAAAGCAACTGGCCCAAGGATTTTTCAAAATCCCAGAAATGATGAGAGATGAGCGAGGATATATGACAGAGATATGATGAAGATGCATTCAAGAGAGCCAGTGCAGTACCTGTTGTTAGAGGCTGTCCAGCCTATCACAGATCTGCATCGGGTTGTGAAGATGGGTTCCTTGCTCGTCTCCTCTACGAGAACTATGTGCTCGACGGAGATACCAAGGAGACAGTCTAACTGACTTGACTGGCTGAAGTCCTCCGTCTGCAACAGTGCAAGCACATGACGTTACGTGTCAACACAGTAGCCCCAGCAATAGCAACCCTCGCTGCACATTATGCAAGTCTATGCCCTGCTATCTAACGTTCAGCAAACACAGACAATAAAGAAAAAGTGCTCAGTATCTTGCCGCAGATTCGCAATGCCAGACGATAAAATTGGTCAGCATACGCTAGCGCAACAAACAGCAACCGTCACTGTACGTCACACCAGTCTACCCTCCTATTATCTAACGTTCTTCAAACTGATCCAATGTCGGAAAAGTTCCTAGTATCTTATTGGAGATAACTGCAACATCTTGGGGAATGCATAAAACGTTCGTTTGACGTATGCCGAGCATTACAAACGGGTTGATTGCACCGTGTCCCGACTAAAGGGGTATACACACAACATTTTTCCCAATTTCGGGGTCGGCCATAGCTCTTATGAAGGTTTGTCATGCTAATCTACAGCAAGTGAAAGCTTGTTCTACATAGTTAAGAATACTCTCCACCTTTTGCATGGGTACTGCTCTAATGAAGATTAAACGTTTATTGACGAATGAATCGAATCAATCACTTGTTTTATTTATAGAGAAGATATATCTCTATGCTCAAGCCAAAAAATTACATGAAATTTCCAGCACCTAATTATGTTACCACACAAATTTTGAATTTTTATGTAAAAATGGTATTTTGGATATTTCTCAATTACCAGAAAGAGTGAGGATACAAAATTTTCGCCACATGTTAAGCACAATATGTACCAAAAAAGGGCATCAGGATTTTTCTTGAAGTTTCGTATTTACCGAGAAAAATGAAAAAAACTGCCTAAAATTCAAGTCGCACGTTTGAATCAAAATTTTTAGCGAATAAACAGACATAACTCATATAATACGGCAGTTAATAACAATCCCTGACGCCCTTTTTTACAGCAATATGTTACCATTAAAACGAGTGTAAAATTAAATTATTCCGAGTTGTAATCACAGAGAAATATCCACTTATACATCGGCTACTATGTCAGAAATCGGAACGAAAAAATCGGCGTTTTTCTATTTTTCACAATGATCAACCGCCTGTGTAAAAAATGGGCAAACGTATGTGAAATATCTATTGTTAGTACTTACTGCGACATATCCATGACTAACTGACACCACTAAATTGGTAAAATGTTCCATGCACCTTGAGAAATTCTGAGAAATTCTGAGGTGACCAACGCAATTTCACGCAAAATGGCGCGAAAAATCGGTAAAATTTTGCCTAAAACCTTGAGAGTATCCTTAACGTCTGCAAAGGGGAGAGTAGGGGGTGGGGGTGGTGGTTTCCAAGACCTGATAGTTAGAAGCATTACTAGTTACCTGCACTTGCCACACTAATGCTCCCTTTACAAAGGCGTCGGTGATGAGCTTTGGCCGAGGCTTATCCTTGCGTTTAGTACTGAGAGAAAACTTGCCTGAAAAAGATTGAATCAGGTTAGCATATTCAAAGCATGGACTTCTATACAAATTACATGCACACCGATCGATTACATATTGTAAGTACTGAACTATTCAAGTTGCGGGATTAGAATATAAGGTTACTGGTATGATGACAATGTATTCAGATGTATTCGTATGTAATGGTAAATATATTCATCAAATATATATTTACTGAATTTGGTGGGGCCAGAATCAAGTGATGTCGTAGTAACATAGTTGGTCGCTAGGTCTTTCAAGTATTCCTGCTTCGTTCGGGTTGCCATGGCAATGAACTTTTCTGACCGGTGAGCAGCATTTTCACCATTTATCGCTGAAACAAAACATTATTGTTGTAGTTATTATAGTCTAAAGACCATCTGAAAAAGAGTGCATTGCGATTGCTATAGCTATAAATAGTATTATACATGCAGAGGTATACAGTTTTAGATATATCGTATATCGGTATATGTATAGTATATTATTACCTATCCATCAGTTGAAATATACGACAATGTTTGGATCATGGTGAAGTAACTAAAAACTTATCTATACAAAGTCAGTTGTACCTTTGGCTATTATAAAATTCAGCACAGTCCTTTGACTTGGAAGTGAAGTAACTAAAAACACATCTATACAAAGTCAGTTGTACCTTTGGCTATTATAAACTCAGCACAGTCCTTTGACTTGGAAAAGAGTTTATCCTTTGGGATGGCTGGCCCAAATGCTGGGACATCTTTGGACCTGGTCACTGCCACACTGCAAAAGCAAGTCATCATTATAAATCAATCGCAAAATAATTCCGTTTTAAATTATGCATAATTATATATTAAAATGACAGAATTATTTTGTGATTCAAGAACTCAAAAAGCAGTTTGATTGCACTTTACTTCATGCATAATCAAATTAATGAAACATTTTCAAGCTGCCCTAGGCTAGCACACATCAGTATTATGTAAGCGTATTAACCTATAGCCAATGTTACAATAAATAACTGACCCGGTAATTAAAAACCCAATGAAGATTATTTTGTGTAAATCAAACCCTGCAAGTAACACAACATTGAACACAATGGAGTGAAGACTTGTTTGAAATCAAGTACCAGCACACACACACACACGCACACAGACACACACACACACACACACACACACACACACACACACACAGCTAGCAGACACACACACACACACACACACACACACACACACACACACACACGACATGCACACATGCACAGCAACCACCACACACACAAACAAAACAATACCACACATGCATTACACATGAACACGAGCATTTCACATGCAAGCACGCACACACACACAGACACACACTACATAGCACACACACACTCCACACACGCAACGCACGCACAACACCACACACACACACACACACACACACACACAAACACACACACACACCACACACACACACAACCACCACACACACCACCTGTATTCTGACGCTTGGCTGTGTCTCGGCTGTGGCACGCACGCACTGGCACGCAACGCACGCGACGCAACGCACAGACACACACACCTGTATTTGACGTGGCTAGTTCGCGTTGTGGGCACGCACACATGCACAGGACGCACGCACGTAGCACGCAACGCTACGCACGGCACCAGCACACACACACACACACACACACACACACACACACAACTGTAGTTTTGACGTTGGCTGTGTCCGCTGCGACTTGTGGGCCACGCACGCAACACACAGACGCCACGCACAGCACGGCACTGGACACACACGCACATCACGCACGTGCGCGCAGCGCACGCACGTGCGCGCACGCACGCACACACGACCTGTATTTGACGTTGCTGTGTTCAGGCTTGTGGGTACGCACACACGCACGCAACGCACAGACGCACTCACAGCGTGCACAGACGCGCGCACCACACACACAGGTACACTGCTTACGGCCACCGCACACGCATGCACACACACGATGCACACAACAAATACACGCCACCACACACGCTTTACTTGACGTTGGCTGATATTCCGGCTCGTCGGGGCGCACGCACACATCACACGCACACGCACACGACGCACACGCACACGGCAGCACGCCAACACGCCACACGCACCACCAGGCACGCGCTGGCCGGTGCACGCACGCACGCACACAACACACACACACACACACACACACAGTGCCGGAGCTAACCATTAAGCAGAGCTAAGCACCGTGCTTAGGGGCACCAGGGCAAAAGGGGGCACCACAAAGATGGGAAAAGGGCTGCAAAAGATAAAGAAAAACGATATACAGATTTGTAGTCCCAGTGTACAACCAAAGCGGGCCTCCAATGCACAATACAATACATATAGGGGCCCAGGTAAATGCCACTAAACAAGGTGCGTAATTTCCGCAAATATCAGAAAATGATAAGCGTACTTCAAAGGACTTGTCGGCACTCTTGATGCTTATCCGCGTGACATCAAGCAGAACACTTTGCGTCTACAGAGCTTCAGCAGTTCCATTCATATGTTCTTCAAAAGTTTAAAACAACCTAAGAAACATGCTTTCACTCACGAGTAGAACTTTACAACACAATGACAAACTATAGATTGGCCTTTCTAAATGTTGAAATATGTCTTTAAAGATATTTTTAACATTAATGCGTCAGCCAAAACTGCTCAACAGAGAGCGTCTTTCTCACACTGAAACGTGTGAAAAAAACAATATAGATGAACTCGTAGTCAGAATGAAGGTGTACATGATCATGATACACTCAAAATTTGCCTCAAATACCTGTCTCCTGCGATCTTAACATTTTTAAAAATTTCTGGGGAGGAGCCCCATACCCCCCGCCGGTTATGCAGCCACCCTCCCTTGAAATCCTACATAAATTTTTGACTGCTGCAACCTGCATTGTATTATCTGGTCAGCACAGGTCAACAACATAAAATGAGCTGGTCAGTGCTGAAAAGGAAGGGCGGCCACACCGATTGGTCAGTGCTTAGGGCACCAGTGAGCCTTAATCCGCCCCTCGCACACACACCACACACCACAAACACACATCACACCACACACCATCACACACACACACAGACGCACGCACACGCACCTGTATCTTGACGTTGGCTGTATTCGGCTCGTGGGCGCGCACGCACACAACAGACGCACGCACAGACGCACACACACCACACACGCACACACACACACACACACGCACGCACACGCACCTGTACTTGACGTTGGCTGTATTCGGCTCGTGGGCGCGCACGCACAGCACAGACGACCAGCGCACAGACGCACACACACCACAACACGAGCTGCGACCCACACACAATACAGACGGCACGCACACGCACCTGTACTTGACGTTGGTTGTATTCGGCTCGTGGGCGCGCACGACGATGAACACATGCTGGAAGTGCGAGCGCACGGTCTTCGGCGTGAACGGATGCGCGCCGGGCTCCTGGAACACGATCGTCACGATGTCGTTGCCGATGTGACGCTTCCGCAGCAGCTGTAGTGCGAGAACAGGACAATAGGTGGCGCCATTAGTCACGACGCCGTCTCGCCACGTAGAGTGACCCCGACGAACGCTCGCTTATTCTCGTTATTTATTAATATTATTATTATAATTATTTAATTATTTATTATTTATCAGGCGCTGAAATCGTGGGCCTCTTCATCCACACCAGGATCATCATCAAGTGCTTGTTTAGTTGACATGTTGACAGACGTAGGTGACAGAGTGAACTGACACTTCTGACAAGCTGACTACATACTCAATCAACAAAGTGACTTGGGAGACTTATTTGACAGAGTGATTTAGCAAGTCACTTGACAGACTGAGTAAAAAGACCCAGTTGACAGATAGCCTTCGGAGATCTGCTTGACATATATACTCACTTGACACTCACTTTAAACACGAGTTACAGAGTCATCAAATACTGACAGACAGGTTTGATGGTTAGCACTGATCATTATCGGGTGAGTATTATTACACTTGATTACTACTAGACTGATGCATCAGGTCCTGCATAGCATATATACCTGCTGCTTGTTGTTGGGCGAGTAGGGAAGCATTGTGGACACGTGAAACATCACTTCATACTCCTGGTAGGTTGCATACAGTGAATAGAGGCCAGTTGAGTCAGCTGAAAACAGGCACACAAACACCACCACGTTAGCATACAGAGTGGAATTCAGCAGACACACGATATTGGTCACAAAGTCATTTATTTAACGATCGTAGTCAATGTTGATCGTGGTGGAGGTCATCGTGGTACACATGAGTGGTAGTAGCGTAATTGGTAGAGGAAGTGTTAGTAGTGGGTGGTTGTAGTGTTGGTCGTGTTAGTGGTGGGTGGTTGTAGTGTTGGTCGTGTTAGTGGTGGGTGGTTGTAGTGTTGGTAGTGTTAGTGGTGGGTGGTTGTAGTGAAGATAGTGTTAGTGGTGGGTGGTTGTAGTAATGGTAGTATTAGTGGTGGGTGGTTGTAGTGTTGGTAGTATTAGTGGTGGGTTGTTGTACTGATGGTAGTTTTAGTGGTAGGTGCTTGTAGTGATGGTATTGTTAGTGGTGGTTGGTAGTATTAGTGGTGGTTGTAGTGATGGTAGTGTTAGTGGTGGGTGGTTGTAGTGTTGGTAGTGTTAGTGGTGGGTGGTTGTAGTGATGGTAGTGTTAGTGGTGGTTGGTTGTAGTGTTGGTAGTGTTAGTGGTGGGTGGTTGTAGTGTTGGTAGTGTTAGTGGTGGGTGGTTGTAGTGATGGTAGTGTTAGTGGTGGTTGGTTGTAGTGATGGTAGTGTTAGTGGTGGGTGGTTGTAGTGATGGTAGTATTAGTGGTGGTTGTAGTGATGGTAGTATTAGTGGTGGTTGGTTGTAGTGTTGGTAGTGTTAGTGGTGGTTGTAGTGTTGGTAGTGTTAGTGGTGGTTGTAGTGTTGGTAGTGTTAGTGGTGGTTGGTTGTAGTGTTGGTAGTGTTAGTGGTG